GGAGGAGGACAGACATTTGTTTAGAGCTCTTAAAGATGTCGAAGAAGCTCCTTTAAGCAATTACGTTGGTGTTCCTCCACCTCCAAAGAAATGTCAGGAGTCTGAACCGCAGAAGAAGCGCATATTCTCGGAAAAGTGGTTGCAGGAGGTGAGCTGGTTTCAAACAAATGATGACCGTGCAGAGATGTGGTACAGAATATGCCGTGAAAATCCCACGCTAGCGGACAAAAACAGTGCCTTTTATAAGTACGCGAACGCGCGTTGCAACTTCTTATCTGGTGCGCGTCTTTTATTTTGACAGCGAATGCGCACCTGCGGACCACTTATGTGCACCCTGCTTATATACCTCTCTTTCATTTCTAATTTCTCTTCCTTTTATTTGTCTCTATGCTAACAGCCAGAGGAGCTCACCAATGTTCTGGAGATCTGCAACATCGTCTTTACAAGCATGTTCTCCTTGGAGATGATCCTCAAGCTCACAGCTTTTGGCTCTTTCAACTACCTGAGAAACCCTTACAACGTCTTTGATGGAATCATTGTCATCATAAGGTACCAAAACACTGATCGCAGTTGTTACGTACAGCTTTTAAAGGTTACCCTTATGCGTGGACAGCCATAGATATGTCAGAGCTAAATCACACAAAGCTAAAGGTAATTTTAGAGTTTGAATGTCCTCAATAGCACAAGAAGACGGAAGTAGGCTTCGTAGAGTAAAAAAAACAGTTTCTAATATAGTAACTGATGTCATTTAGATATCGGCTTTTTTTTTCATTTGTCCAGACGATTCTGGAAAGAGAGCCTGCAGTTTAATTATTCATACTTTGTCAATTTGTCACGTGCGTTCTATCTTGTTCAAATGTACCACCTGTATGGATTTAGATGCCAAAGCGTCAGAAAGCGGCAAACAGATTGTGTCTTTTGTTTTGTGTGCCTGGAAGCTTCAGGTGAGTGGCAGTGCCTTTGATCTGCTGGCGTTTTTTCCCCCCAATTCATCTGGTTAGGCGCCTTTGTGTGTGATCCCCATTATAACCCCGAGATCAAATACACATCAAAGCAACTAAAACTGAACAAGATCAAATGTGCAACCCATCACAGAAGATACACGGTGATTGAACATATCTGCATCTGTCTTCTTATCTCTTGCCCCGCTACCCATTTCCATCTCTTTTTCTATCTGAACGTCCTCAGCTATTTATACTGAGCTGCTATGCAAGGGTCCCTATTCGGTCTTTGTCAATTCAAAGCCAATGCTATTTTGATGTGCTGAGTGAGGCCTTTGAAAGCTACCAACCCGAGGAGACGTGTTTCTTTAAAGGCATATTTTTCACGAGAGAACGGCTCTCTGTTCACGTTAAATATCCGTCAGAATGAGAAAGAAAATAGAAAGCAAAACTTCAGCCATCACGTTTTGTGAACTCATGTACAAATAAAAGCTTTTAGAGCTTCACTTGCGATCTCAAGAACCTTGGTAACCTGCTAGTGGACAAATTAATTACTTGAAGATTAAAAAGTGACCACAAATTTAACACGGATCAGTTACTACACTTGAGTTGATGGGAAAAGAAATGAGAAATTAGAATCAGTACTGATTCCCTTAAAGGTTAGGGACTTGAAGGAGATGAAGATTAACATTTTTGGCCTTGTGCTGCAGCAATAATTATCTGCAATATTACTTGAAAAAATGATCTTGAGCAATATTTCTCCAGTCTTTCAGAAGGTCTTCCAAAGTCTTCCTTTGGCCATTGGATTCAAGATTTTCAATTCATTGCATGTACGGGGTTTGCAGGAGAACTAAAGTACGGTTTCTCTCTCGGTCTAGTATAGAAAGAGATAATTATGAAAAGATAAAAGGGAATATAAAATAAATCAAGCCTATATGCATTAGTGCAGTAGTGCAAATACAATAGCAAAGATGTGTTGTGTTGAGTCCTTGTGTGCGACCAGCTAAGATAAACCTCTTGAATGTGTTACAGTCGAGTGCTAGTGTGTGTTGAAAATGGACGCTTTCTCATTGATTTTCAATGCAGTCCTTGTACTTGACTATTTTCAGAGGAATTTTGTTAAGGCACTTAACATTGACCTTTGAATCATTCATGCTTTAAAATAAGGCACCTAATGCAAGTGACGAACCAGGGCTGTGTGTGCACACGATGGACTACAGAGCGAAGAAGCAGTTAGAAGTTGTTTTTTTAGGCATAAAATATGTTCACATTTCTTTAGTTCCCATGAGCCAAAATGTTTCAGACAGTTTTTTCTACTCTTTGCTGTGTGTGATGTCAGTGAGAGTGGATATTCATCATATGGTTATCTCAGGCAGGGCAGGTGTAGTTGCAATTATAGCCACTGTTGAAACGTGTTTGCAAGAAATGAGCAAAATACAAAACAAAACAATTATTCTTCGTCCTCATAGACTCGCAGTAAAACATAAGTCCTATTAAAAATATTAATATTAAATATTTTAAAAAAAGATTTGCTTATTTATATAATTAATTGAGGAAAATGTGCTCTGTATGAACTGAATGTATCATGAAATTTAACATTTTTATTGTAGTTATGTAATACAACCAAAATGTAAATGTTATTGTAGTTACGTGTAAAAGGGCATTTTTTCATTTATGCTTTATGTACATATGTAAGTGTTTTTTTATGTACATGCTATGTTAAAATGGACATTTAGCAGCATTTTGTGCTTCACCCCTCAGTGTGTGTGAGATCATCGGCCAGTCGGACGGTGGTTTGTCTGTTTTGAGGACCTTCAGGCTGCTGAGGGTGCTGAAACTGGTGAGGTTCATGCCAGCTCTCAGGAGACAGCTGGTGGTCCTGATGAAGACCATGGACAACGTGGCCACCTTCTGCATGTTACTAATGCTCTTCATCTTCATCTTTAGGTAAGGTGTACACACTGTGTGATCATAACAAAAGAAGAAGAATGTAAACGGCTCGTTTGATCCGTTTCTTTCAACTGTGTTTTTAGTTGGTGTCAGGAACAGTACTGTGAGACAGATCTCTGTTTACCCTCTACTTTCATGGTGTGGCACGTATTGGCTTTAGATCTGCACAGCTGCTTACCAGCAACCAGCACAGAGGGTCACAACATTCCACAGCAGCTATTAACCCTGGGTACAAAATAACAAGCAGACCCTTGATGGTTAGATTTTAACAAGCATACACTTAAGTGAGTAGAGCAACAAGGGCACATTTGTGATGCTCAAGCACTGCCACAGAACTGCTTTGAGAGTTAAAAGGTCCTTTAGTGGGTGTTCAGTGTACACAGTATTTGTTGTCTTTATTTATATACTGTTTACAGATTTGCATGCCACTCACGTCCCTGTAATTTTGTGTGAGGAAAATGACCCTGAGATCTCAGTGTGCTTTAAAAAATCCTCTGTGTGTCTGTTCAGACTTATATACAGGGTTAATGTAAAAGGAAGTAATTGTTAAATTAGATGTTATTTTGCATACAGTGTTTAAAAAAAAGTAATTAGACAACTTCATTTTTAACAGCAAATTTAAAACTTTTCTTTATAACGCCACATTTAATACCCATAATGGCAACGTGAATGCTTTTTTCCTTCAGAAATGTTACTAAATGAAACGTTTGAGACTGTTGGTGAATGTTTAGTTTGGTACTTTACATTTTACATGGTCACTGGAGCGGATTAGATCTCATGTAGCCGTTCCCCAGCGTCCGACAGCACTCAGGCATTTACAGCCATCTAATTTATTTCAGCTCGGAAAGTCACACAGTACAAAACAAATGATGACACTTAAAAATGCATAAATAAATAAAACTGAATTTACACAGTTAGGAACTGTTAGGATACAGATACAGCTTAATCATCTGAAGCTTCTTTGTGTGTGATTCTAAAAAAAGACGATTGTATTTGTATCATGCTTCAGTGGATTTAACAAAGATCTGCATTTAATTATTAGTCAGGTACATCAGATGACCCCATGTATGTTGTGTGGTATATTGTATTGCAGTATCCTTGGGATGCACATTTTTGGATGCAAATTCAGTCTTAAGACGGAGACGGGAGACACCGTACCAGATAGGAAGAACTTTGATTCCTTGCTGTGGGCCATTGTCACCGTTTTTCAGGTATTCAACATATCATAGCTTTGATTTATATGAGCACAACATGCCTCAAACTACAGTCACACTAGGGTCTTTAAACAGGGTCAGATTGACAATTACATGCCATCACTTTGTGATAATTCATCAGTTAACTGTGATAAATCCAAGCAAATCACAAACATTTTGCCGTCTGCTTACACAAAACTTCACATTGAAACAGTCACATCAACGTTTTAAATTCAGAGTACAGCCAGAACCTGATATATTTAAAACAGAAACTCTGAAATGTTTCTACAAATAGTGACGTAGTTGCTGCCGGGAAGAAGTTTCTTGCTGTTGGCAAAGTTAGCAACCAGTTGAGTTGACTCCGTCAAAGAGATGCAGTGGTGACTGACTGAAATTGGTTGCAAACGGGGATCCAGTGCAGTCACCTTGCAACCCAAAGTGGTCACCCATAGCTTAACCCTTTCATCCATGAGTTATGACAACCTGGATATTTTTATTCATCTTTAGGCATGAAAAAACCACAGGCATGATTTTTGAACTTCATTTTTTAAACATGTACTTTTCAAAGAGTTTTTTACACGTCCACTTAGGTGGACAACGCTGGCTGCCCAGTGGGTGGCAGGGTATGGAGTGACACATCAGTGTCCAATGTAGTGGTTTATGTGCAAGTATACCATCAACACTGACACAAATACAAGAAAGCAGCCTTCAGTGGAATAGCTGTCCACTGTAGTGACCACTATGTGTGAGAGGGTTTAGGGTGCTGCATCCTCAACCTCTGGCCAACCAGCTGGTCACCGTAACTACTTCCAGTTGGTCAGTAAAAGTGAAAAAATTCTGTTTAACCAACCAGCCAAATTGTTTTATTGGTCACAAGGATGTTGCAGTTCTATTTTTACTCTAGCCTGACTAGAGTTGTTTAGCGTTTAACAATCAGTAGGTCCTTTTTGTGTTACTAACCTCCTACGTCTGTCTATGCAAATCTCAAAGATTCTGACCCAGGAGGACTGGAACGCAGTTTTGTACAATGGTATGGCGGCGACCTCACCGCTTGCTGCTCTGTACTTTGTGGCCCTCATGACATTTGGAAACTACGTCCTCTTCAACCTGCTGGTCGCCATCCTGGTTGAAGGCTTTCAGGCGGAGGTAAGGGGTATAGGTCAACCCGATGCTGACTGCTGCCACATTTCAGACTGCACGATGTAAGCTTGTTAATCTTTTAATTGTTACTCATCTAAAATTATTCATCCAATTCTGTGTTCATCAGTAGTGAAATATTTCTAATTATTATTGTTGTATTGGCCTCTAGCAGCCACCAGAGAAACTTTTATTAGTTTAAATAAGTCCAAATTATACCATGACTCAATGGAATAATCGTATAAATTGATGGAGGAGCACTTAGCTTACAGATATTTGGAAACATCCACCAAATAAGTGCCGCATCTCTAATATTGTAAAAAGCATGGCCTCGTAAGCTGTTTGGCCGCCTGTGATTTAGATGCATTTCCAAACTTTGGCACTTCTCCTCTATTTAACCCGATGCTTGCACTCCCTGCAGAGTAATCTCTTGTGTGGTCCACTGATATCAGTCTGTCTGTGTCTCTCAAACTGAAGAATTTAACCTTTGGCAAAGACCTTGACAGCTAAAATAAACCGAGCTGTTGCCCTCTGTTGATTTCCATAATCACTGAATTGAGCAGATTTACATGTTTCCAGCATGTCTACACGGTCAACAGTGTTTTTCAGCCATCCATCTTATGGCATTTGACAAAATGGATTAAATTCTATTTAAATCAGACTGTCTGCACAGTCCACGTAACATATGTAATGTATTGCTTCCATTTGAACACAGCTCAAAATGTATTTTTGGGCTTTAAGTCTGTTTTTTTCCGTTTTATGCATACAGCTGCAATGACTGTGTATTGAGCTGCCAAAACTCGGGTGACCTACAATCTAATGCGCCTCAAGTGCAGTATGGATATTATGCCGCATCATCTTTTATCATTCCTGTTACATAATCAACTCAGCAGAGGGGCTTTGTATGCTAGCTTCTTTACATAAATGTGTAAAACCTCATATATACAGTTTTAAAGTTGACTGTATCATCAGTCAGGCAAGGATAGACAAACGTTACACACATAATGTTCAGAGTATTTGCTCTGTGCACTAAATATGGTGACTTCTATCAACATTAAAGCCATTACATCCATTAAAAACGTATTTCCTGCAATACTTCTTTTGAATGTCCAACTGTTATCACAGTACAAGCAGGAACTGAAATGATGTTCAGTGGGCGAAACAAATATTTGACACGCTGATAAAGAAA